AGCAACTTTTTTACTATCTTCAAAACCGTCAACTGGAATGAACTAAAATTTGGTATGTGAATTTACCGAACTATTGTCCACATTCAAAAGTCTTTACTCAAAATTAACGGCACTAGTAGCGGAGATACAGGGGATTAGTGGCATTATTTTTCCAAATAAAAATAGTCGCCACCGTTATTTTTTCCTCGAAACGCAATTTTTCGAATTTTACCTTCAATTTGCTACAAATAATTACTCCTGTGTTTTTTCCTAGAGTGCAACGTTTTCTTGGTCATTTGATCATTCATGAAGAGCTGAGATACAATTAGTTTCAAAAAAATAGAAGGAAAAAAGTCAAAGTTTCTTTTTTCCATTTTTGTGCATTGCGAAATGGAATTTAGCAATTTTGAGTACGCCGGTATTATTTTTGTGTGCGGGTTCTGTAATGGAAATGCTTTAGCGGCTTCTCGGTGGTATCAACGTAGATTTCCTAACAGACGCCAACCTACCTCAAAGGTTTTTACGCGTTCATTTCGAAGACTTTGGCAATATGGAATTGCGAAACTTCCCGGAGTTAGAGGCCATGGCATACTGTTCAAGAGGAACTGGAAGTGATTACTTTGGCGTTGGATGATCCTAGTACAAGTACTAGGCGGATTGCAGCCCAGTTACTAGGTTGCCAAACTCTTGCGAGGAGATTTTTAAATTAAGTTTTACATCCTTACCATCGGCTAAATGTGCAATGTCTGCAACCCAGCGACGAAATGCAACGGCGACATTTTTGTGAGTGGTAACTGCTAATGCATAATCAAAATTTCTCTTGGGACGGAATTCGAACCCGCACAACGCACGGCGACTGATCAGGAGACCGAAGAGTCTACTACTGCGACCACCGCTGCTGCCTAATGATATTTGGTCGTTATAAAATCCCCGTTCTGTAAGAATCCACCCGTTTCACACACAGATTTTCTAGAAATGTCAGGTGCGGCATTTTCAATGGCCAACTGTTTATGCACGTATTGCCACAACGTTTTACTGCAACTCATACTTAGCTTTTCTAGAGAATTACATAGAAAATGTGTTAGATGATGTTCCGTTAGCACGATAGTACGAATGCGGTATCGGCACGACGGTCCCCACCGCATTTCCGTCGTGACAAAACCGCATGGTTAAAAATAATCATTTTAGACAAGGATGGATTGGCAGAAACGGACCCGTACATTGTCCTTGCGAGGTCTCCTGATTTGAACCTCCTGAACAACTAGTGTGTGCTGAACAAATTAATACTGTTGATCAGTTACAACAAAGATTGGATAAATTCAATCCACAACAAATTTTGCGGAAATACGTTTTCTTTATTAAAAACATTCCGCACTTGAATCCGTCAGGATGGTGGTCTTTTTGACCATTTATTGAAATAAAGCTTTGGTTTTTTTATTTTAATGAAAACAATGTACACTAGGAAAAAACACAAGAGTAATTATTTGTAGCAAATTGAAGGTAAAATTCGAAAAATTGCGCGTTTCGAAAAAAAACTGGCGTCATATTTTTATTTGGCAAAATAATGCCACTAATCCCCTGTATCTCCGCCACTGGTGCTCGTTAATTTTAAGTAAAGACTTTTAAATGTGGACAATACTTAAGTAAATCCACATACCTAATTTTAGTTGATTCCAGTTGACGGTTTTGAAGATATTAACAAAAATTGATTTTTATTTTTAAAATTCAATGTCTTTTTAACCCATATCATACCAATGATACAAAACTAGTAAAAGTCACTCTTTTTTTTTTAATACACTTTATTAGTACATGCAAATGAAACGTTTACAGTTCTTCAATTTTTTTTTGCATACTGATCATCAAAAAAATGCGTGGTTCGATTGTGCACCGCTGGTACCAAAGACAAACTTTTAATAGGGCAAATATATTATAAGTACTTCAATCCCTTCAAAAATTGGAGATTCTTAGTGGAATTATTATACAACGGGCCACTTTAGGTCTATTTAACATCACTAACACGTACAAAGAAGGTGGTAGACAAGGACCAGTCGACCGAGACAGTACCACCCGCTAGCTTTTCCCAGGGTGTCATAAATGTCCGCATGTTTCCACACCTAAGCTATGCAGTCGGTTATCTACCAAAACAAAGAAATTAATGATGATGGATCCCGCGAGCACTAAAAACTCCGGACGTAAACTCACTCCACTCTCGGAATGTCCGGGTGGAGGGTGGGTTCGAGGGAAAAACATCGTAGATAAAATTTGTTTTTCGAACATCTGCGGGATCAACAGCAACATTGATGCTGTTCATCACTACCTGCAATCTAATCGTCCCGCCGTGCTTTTCTTGGCGGAGACAAAAATCTCAGAGACTGCACCGATTAACCATCTCAACTTCCCAAACTACGAGGTGCACTCCAATCTGAGAAGAACGGGGGAGTTGTGGCTTTTGTCGGCAGCAGTATTTCCTGCTCCAGGGATCTTTCTTGGAATCAGACCGGAAGGACATTCTGTGGCTTCGCCTCAACTCCAAAACATCACCCAAATTATTTGCTGCCTTATCGCTCTCTCTCGGACGATAGCTGGGATGACCTACTCGAATACCTCGCCGTCCAGATCGACTTCCTGAACATCAATCACCCCGCTTCAGAAGTAGTTCTTCTCGGTGATTTCAATGCCCATAATGAGCTTTGGCTGGGCTCAAATAAGACCGATGCAGCAGGTCGTGCAGTCGAAGCGTTCGCTCTTACTCAAGGGCTGACCCAGCTGGTGACGAGCCCTACTTTTTTCCCCCGCGTCTCGTCACACGCCAGTAGCCTGCTGGATCTCTTTCTGACCACGCATCCTGCCCCTTACAGCACTGCTGTCCTGTCCCCCCTGGGTAACTCAGATCACGGTGTTGTGGAGGTTAGGTTTCGGTCAGAAGCCGCTGTGGCAGCAGAAATTCGCACAGGCCGCAAAACTTGACATTACGGACATGCCGACTGGGAGGGGCTCAGAGACTTCTCTAGCTTTCCTTGGAGAGATGTCTGTTTCACTGACGCGGATGCGTCGACTGTCTGTTCTTCAATAACCGAAATTATCCACGTCGGAATAGAGGAATACATCCCTCACACAGTGAAGTTCCTAAACCAGGGTCCAACGGCTGGTTCAACAAATCGTGTGACACTGCTCGCCAGCAGAAGATCAAGGCCCACAGAACCTACTTACAAAACCCCACTGTAGAGAACAGACAAGCCGACGTCGAGTCCAGAAACAAATATAACGAAGCGGTTCGCAATGCCAAAAACCAGCATGATATAAAAGTTAGGCACAGGGTAATGTCGCAGCGCAATGGCAGTCGGTCTTTCTGGACGCTGGCCAAGCAGATTGAAAAGAATTCTCACACAGTAGCCTTCCACCACTTACGTGTCAGGATGGAAATATTGTATTCGACTCAAAGGCCAAGGCGGAAGTGCTAGCCAAGATCTTTGCTGCCAACTCCACCACCATAGTTGAAAATTATCCAGTACATAGAACTTCCATGTTTTTTTGGTGTTGCGTTCACGCACCATTGGGATGTTGGCCGACAGAAATATATTCATTTCTGATGATATTTTTCGAAGCAGGATACGTGTAAATGTACTTTACACCTTTTGCACATGTGCACTGTGTGACTATGACATTCTCTGCAACGTCGACACCTCTCATACAGCGATTGTACCTAGCAATGACGTTTGGTTGCTGTACATGAATTTCTCTTTTTTCTGTCCTGTTGTATCGGCGGACTTGGTTTATAGGCTCAACATTGTATACATTGCTTCAAATGGTAACTATAGCATTATCATTCCAACGAACCATTGAAATTTTGTTATTTTTTGTCATACGCGCAATCATACGCTCCTCGTTCTCGCTTGGACACGATTTTTGGTTCAACTAGCGGACAATGTCCTGTTCGATTACTTCTTATAGTTCCTGTGGCATAAAAACCTTTGTTCTTCAGGTCAACTAGGAGTTGGTATGAAAAAAGAAGTTGTCAAAGAAAATATTATGTCTAGTAGGATTAATCCACGTTGGCAAGTAAATTGTTGACGATTTCACCACCAAGTCCCAATGACGTCCTTTCTTTGTTAGCGATTGCTCCTGCATATGGAATAGAATAGAATAAATATCCATCTGACGAACATAAACACCACTGCTTGAATCCAAATCGAACTGGCTTGCCTTTTATAAACATTTTGCAAAGAATGCCTACTGAAATAAGGAACCATCAATTGATAAATTGTGTGCAAAAACGCCCCACTGCATATTTTTTTTATTTACAGGTCTAATATGGACGAAGCTTAGAAAATTTATCATCTTTATCTAAATTACTATTATCAGATAAATGTATGTTTCGCTTTATGGCTTGGAATCTATTCAGACTCATGCACTTTTTCACTATGTCTATCCCCTTGTCCTCCTCGTTTGACCGATAGAGCGGAACTTGCGACAAGGTGTGATACCCAGAAAACAGCATATAATGCCTAGGAAGTTCAGAAGTTCTCCTTTGGACAAACAAAATCCATGTCTGTTGTTTTGTTGGGCGTATTTCACAGAAAAATCTAAAATCAAATTTATCAAATCATCATCAAAGAAAGAAAAAAACATCTCTAATGGCGTTTTTTCCAGCCAGTACATTCTTTAAATGCACCATATCAATGTCTTCGTTGCTGATGGATGAATGAGTGTACTCCAGTGGACCCTTTTCCCACTTTGGCTGGAGGGGCGGCACAGCAAAAGTTGTGTGACTGGCACGGGGGGAGCAACCAGTCGCAATTTTTTTGACGCCAAAAACTCATCATCGGAAGTATCGAATCCATCATCGTCAAAAAAAAATGGCTTCCTCTTTGTTTGGGATTTCAGCAGCATCATCTTCATTCATAAATGCGTGGAGTTCAAATGTACCAGCAATGTCTGAAGGACCTGGTACATCAATTTCGGGTAGTAGCTCATCTTCTACAGCCTCCTCGTCAGTTACATTGTCTACATCTGGAGGTATGTAAACAGCATCAAGAGCACCTACGCAAAAATAAAAGGGATGCAAATGAGGTTAGGTTAGGAGTTTTCGCACACAAACCTTTTCTGTAGTTGTACAGTTCTCGTCCAGCTTCTTCAACGGCAGCTTCCAATTCACTTTCAGTCAGAAATCTTCGAAATTACATTCTTAAGATGGATGTATGCACATATCTCGATGGTATGCACTAAACACAACTAAAACGCAACTAACGTAAACACCTGCAAATGCGTACTGCGTACGTCAAGTTCTCGCGCTAACTTGTCTGAACAGGAAATACTTAACTGATAAAACCAATGGTGCACAAACGCACCAACAAAGTTTCCTATTGTATAACTTCAATTATAAGATCGAAGCCAAACTTTTGACAAACAACATACAGACCACATAAGTTTCTTTTCCACTATTTACAGGTAATTATAGGAAAAAATGAGTCTAAACCATAATTCATTGAATTTTAGACATGTTTTACGGAACCAAATATAATATTCATGTCAAAAACCACCGCCATTTTTCCCTTTGCTGTCAAGGTCAAAAACAAATTAAATTTGGATACAGTAGCAACAGATTATCTCAAACTACACGTATTAAGCAGTTAGAACAAGGAACTATCCGGGAAAAATCATAAAATTGGCGGTGCGTAAGCGCACCACTGGGACCAAATGGGTGAAGCCCTCGAGAAAAAAATGTTACATGTGTATGATGATTCATTTTTGGTCACGACTTGTGAATCACCCTGTATATTGAGAGTCGCAGTTCAAGTATGATTGTGAACCTAGGGCTTGACTGTCACAACCTGGCGCAAGCTGTACAGATAAGATATTCACCTTATCTATCCAAGGGTGTTTGAGAATTTCGGCAATAGTTATTCGACTTTGTGGCTTGACCGTGAGCATTCTTTGAACTAAGTCCCTAGCAGCTCTTGAAACACCTTGCCAACATGTATCAAACATCTGATACTGGCCACTTACTATTAGTCGGTTCAGTTCTTTCTTATCGCTAGACCTGAAACAAAAAATATGTATTAAAATAGTAAAAAAAAGCATTTTTTCATATATTCCTAACGTACTTGATGGTAGGGATCCTGAAAGCAGATAGTATAAAATCACCCCCAAACTCCAAACATCCACTTGTTTGTTATACTGTGGATTGCGAACTCCAATCACTTCTGGAGCCATGTAATAGTATGTACCACAAACAGTGTTCATTATATCCTCCTCTTCTGTTATTTTGCTTAATCCAAAGTCAGAAACTTTTACCAAGGTTTCTGTCTCTTCTGTTGCCAACAGAACATTTTCAGGCTGTAAAAAATAAAATCTCAATTCTGCTATTTTCGGTCTCTCCTCGATCTGGGCCGGTATTCTCGTTCTTCAAAACGAAAAGCGTTCCAAGTCGCCTAACGAGTATGACGTCATTTGCACTTATTTTCGACGTGTTTGTTAAAACACGATATTCCCATTTGTCTCACGCCTAACTTAATGACTTCAAAACGACTACTCAGTAGTTAGTGTTTTGCTTATTGCTGTCTGGGTTTTTATTTACATATAGGGTGTTGGGTATTACTGATATAATGTTTCCGGTACCTAGTTGCGCATACCAGTTTACTGGCTTCAATTTAATCAGAAATATCGGAAAATTGGGGAGGCAAAGATTAGAGGCTGATGACCCATTTTAATTCTCCAAGTTTTAAAAAACTTTTGTAAATCTATAGTAAGAATAAGAATAATGTGGAGGAAATGTTGCAACCTCTTTTGCCAGTGCCTCATAGATCATACATATAAGTCATTGAGCAAAAGTAACAATAATGATCTACTTGTACTTGCAAGACTTACCAAAAATTCATATAATGGTAATGAAACAGTGATGCTTTTGTCATGAAATAATTGGTACTCTACCTATTATGATGTCGATTAACAAATCAAAATGTCCTCCACTAATGTAGTATACATATGCTTATATGAATGTAGCATTTTTTTATTGATACTGACTGTATTGCGTTTATTTGATGACAGACAGAAATCATACTGTAACTCACAGCCAGCCATCTCTCTCAACTGAGAATATGTTGGTAAACTGGAAAAAGCACCATTGCCAAGGTGTGTCAGGCGGATTGAACTTAAAGAATTAGCACACAAAAGTGATTACCTAAACCAAATGCTTAACGTTTTTGTTGACCGACATGATTTGCTAAGCGTTTTTAAAATGTATCGCTTTCAAGCTGAACAACGAGAATACTGGTCCTCACCAGTCACTTTTTGGTTTCACAATTGATCAACATATTCCGCCAGAAGATTTCGATTGAATGACGTGCCTACGTTAAAACGGACCAAAGTTCCGTGGCGCCACCAACCACTTTTGCTCACAACCATGTATCTTTAGGTGCCAGCACTGCCTCTTTTAGAACTGTTGCCACAGATTTCCACGTCGGAAAATTCTGAGAGTACGAAATCTTAAGAATATAACTACAAGGGTGGTTGAGGGGTGATATTTTCTTGGATATGATGTGTAATGATGAACAATTTACTTTAAGAGGAAAATTGAGTCTGTTTATTACTTCCAAGGAACTACTGTAATCCTACTTGGCAACATGGCTATGCTGATTGAAATTGTATGTCTATGTCAAATACAGCATAGGGTTGTGCATCTTCCTGGAGAATTAGTTAAGTGATGGTGTGACTGCAACCTTATGTACACTTTACCTTCAGGTCTCTATGTGTAATACCCTGCTTGTGCAGATATTCAACTGCTAGGACAATTTGGTGAAACAGGAACTTAACATTGTTTTCAGTCATTGGTGATCTAGACTGAATCCTATGCTTTAGCTCACCTCCTCTCATATAATCTAGTACTATGAACACTTCTTCTGGGGTTTCTATTATATCCCTCATTTTATAATGAATGGCTGAAAAAATCAAAATGTTGGTCCTTTGTATTGTTCAGATTAAAATGTCATACAAGTAAAATACAGAAATGATAAAATCTTGTTTGATATTCGAACTTATATAGAAAAATAATTCTTACATGACTTAGACTTTGTAGTATATTAATCTCAGACTGAATTTTGAGAGGGTGATTTAGTTTACACATTTGAGATGTACTGCTCCTAGCTTTCAGTATTCTCTTGATTGCAAACATTTCACAGGTACGCTAAAAATTAAAAATGGCGTCAAGTAGGTTGACTCCGCACTTCCCACGCAACGCCGTTATAAGTACATAAAGGATTATGTTCAGCACAAACTAGTCCCTCTGAGAAAAAACTAGGACAAGTCCATACAATTAGTCCGGAACCACAGAACTCACCAAGGCCTGCGTTAGGTAGTATGTCGTAGCCGTAGTTTTTATGGGCTAATATACAGCTAAATCTATGATGTGTGAAATATGTATAATAGGTGCGTAGAATTGCCAAGGTTGGGAGCATATAAATAAAAATTTATATAAATCCTCCCTACCCCCTACATCCCCCACCACCACCAACTTTCTTTACCTCTAAACTTTTTTAAAAATCTTGACAAGTTTGAGCGATTTTCATTTATTTTTTTTTTTTCGCTCTATACTCTGCCGCCGTTGGACAGATTTTAAAAAACTACAAAGCTTTTCGCGCTTAGCATAAAAGTAACATTTTGTAAAAATTTCATTAAAATCCAAGCGGTACTTCTCAAGTTATAGGCAATTATAGGATTAGCAGACAGACCAACAGAAATAAGTGTCATGGTTTTTATTTATATCTTATTTTCGAAACTTTTCGCGTCCATTGACGTACGATCAATATTTACTTATGATTCAAAATGATAAATCAATTGCATAACTCACTTTTTCAAATGCTAATCTGACTTCACCAGCTGCACCTTTTCCTAGCATAATTGAAGGTTCATATTTACCCCTCAATTCCTCAGGCAGATAAGTCATATCTTGAGAATAGGCTCTGTATATGAATACTAAAATGAAGCATTAGAAAGATTAGCTCAGTAAAAAATCAACTTCAGTTATGAAATTTTGCTCATAGTATTCATATAAATTGATAAAAACTATTACAAAAAAATCTTTGGTTCACCATTTCTATCTGGTTTTCCTATGGCTATAACATCATCTCTCTGTAATACATTTTGTTTATTTTTGCCAATGCAAACACCATTCAGATAAGTACCATATGTACTTAGGTCTTTTATGAAAGTAACACCCTTTTCACAGTCTTTGTTTATCACAAATTGTTGCTTACTAAATATAGCTTTGATCTTTGGATCAATCTTTGCATTACTAAGTGAAATATCACAATCTGAAGATCGTCCTACACTTACAGTAGTTTCATATAGATCTAAAAACAAAATACAATGATTAAATCACAATGAAAAATATAATGAAATTATTTTGTTTTTAAAATTCTTACCTACTGAGTCCAAACATAACAGACAAGCGATCAAACGTCCCCAGGAGCTACAATAGTGGTAGGTTGCACCATACAGTCATCATTTGGTGATGCTGTCGGTGGCAAATCTTCATCAGTTAGTTCCCTAAAGACATAAACTGCAAAACAATATTTTCAGTCCAATGATAGTATAGATGTATAGAAGAGTTTGGTACAGTATGTTTAGGCTCAATTTGTCCATTTTCTTTGAGAACAATGTTTGATCTGCTATTATCCTCAATTCAGAGTGACATTGGGGTCTTTGTGACATGATAAACAACTGACCAAAAGATTATTTGTGATTGTTCACAGTATGGCACACAAGGTCAGGAACAGCCGCAAATGATAGCTTTATCAATCGAATTTAGAGCAAAAACATTTGACAAAGGATATCATTAGGCTAATGATGGAATGTTTCACAATTTGGTGACAAAAATCCTTTAAACATACTTTTATGAACTTACCATGATGTGAATGTGAACCAATGGCAATTTTGTCCCCATCTTTCAATGGTGTTTTTTCATTTTTCTTGATACGTTCGCCATTTTTGTATGTTCCATTCTTGCTGGTGTCAACCAAATATACTTTACTGCTTTCCTTGATAATAAGGAAATGTTCTTTACTGATACTTCCTATAATACCCTGTCCTATGCTATTTCCTATTACAACATCACAAGTTGTTGATCTCCCTACTTTGAACCTGTCATTTATAAGTTCTGTAAATAAAGGAGAAACCAACTAGACATAAAAAGGTTTTGTTTACATGTTTGGTAATTTCATAATTTCAGGCAGGTAAATACAAGGTCGTCAATATATAACTGACGATTTAAATTGCGAGCCATTTTTGATACACGCATTTCAGTAGGTGGCGCCGCAGTAGTTGTATAAAGCACATGTGTCCAATTCATCATGGAGTGGTACACGATCCCGCAACGCGTCCGTATTGTTAAAACGTTTTACTTAAATAATGAGTCGATTGTTGCAACGATTCGGAAGCTACGACAATATTTCGGTCGAAACAATGTGCCCTTTGTCAGTTGGTGCGGAAATTTGAACAAACAGGTAGAGTTAAAGTCTTGCTAAGGTTCCTTCCGACACCTATCAAAAAGTGATGGAAAATATCGAGAGAGTTCGTGAAAGTGTAGTGGAGCGTCCTGAGACGTCTACCAGACATCGTTTTAAAGAAGTGGGTATTCTTCGCACGTCATTATGCACTAGTTTAAAAAAAAGACTTTCATTTGCGGCCATTCAAAATTCAGTAAACCCAAGAACTACAGCCTAGTGACCACATGAAAGTCGCCGACAATACAGTCATGCAATATTGCAGTTTAATACCCAAAATAAAGATTTACCGACAACATACTGATAATGAGCGATGAAGCCCACTTTGATATGAACGGATTTGTTAATAAACAGAATTGTCGTATCTGGGCATTAGAGAACAATCCTCATGTCATCCATCAACGGCCACTACATTCTCGTCGAGTCAGTTTGGTGGGGTATTTGGTATGGAGGTGTCATTGGACCATAATTCTTTGAAGACCCTGCAGGTAATTCTCTTACTGTCACTGGCGAGCGCTACCGTGATATGGTGCAAAACTTTCTGGCTCCTCAAATCCAACAATTTAACTTGAAAAACATGTGGTTCCAGCAGGACGGAGCAACATGTCACACAGCTAGGGAAACAATGAATCTGTTGGGAACAATATTTCCGGGACGTTCAATTTTGATGTCAACTGGCCACCAAGGTCACCGGATTCAACGGCTCCTGACTTTTTTATGGGGATTTTTGGAAAATGGAGTTTATGCCAACCAACCAAAAACTGTAGAGCAGCTGAAGAACAATATTACGCACGCGATTGAAAATATTCCTCCCGAAACCTACCAAAAAGTCTGATATTATTTTTCATACATAATTTCCAAGTTTTAATAAAAGATTAAGATGATAAAAATTCACGTATTTTATTTCATTTCACAAATATTGACAATACAAACCAGACCTTGAATCGCGACATTTCCATTTTCAACTTGAGTAGATGGAAGTGAATGAACTTGGAATCACTACGTATTTGACACACTGATTTAGAACATAATCACGAAGTGTCGTGGATCCGAATTTTAAGTAAAAAATGGGTTATTTTGGACTCCCAGTGGGTCCCAGAGTCATACCTAGAGTATAAGTCTAGATCGAGAGTGCTTCAGCATTTTACCCACTGGAGCCATGGAAACTATGCTAACAGACCACATCCACAAGGAGAAAGTAGAAAAACACTAACTACCTATCTATATCAAATTAAATTCAGTTTGCCACTAACATCACACCAGCAGACCTTCAAGGTCATATTAATGATCTCAAGGTGCGAGAGGCACCTGGAGAGGATCAGATCACCAACAAGACGCTGAAGCTGCTGTCGTCAAAGGCAGTGACACACCAGGTAACAGTAATCAATGCTATGTGCAGGATCCAATACTTTCCAGATGTAGAAGACGGTAGGTTCAATATTTCCGCAGGGTTTATCGCCCCATTAGTCTGCTCCTGCTAAGCTCGCCGAACAGGTAATTTGTGGTAACCTTGAGAATTTTTCGTCAGCTCTCATGAAGTTCAATTCGGTTTTCGATCCGAGCATAGTATGGAGCTACAGGCAGTCAGGCTGGTGAAGCATATAGCCAGCGGATTCACCCACGACAAGAACACGCGAATCCTTTTTCTCGATGAAGTGAAAGCCTTTGATAAGGTGTGGCATGCAGGCCTCCTTTATAAACTTATTCAAAACCGTTTCCCTTGCTGGCTATTAACACTTCTCAAATTCTTCCTAGAAGGAAGGGAATTCAGAATTAAAATTGAAAATTTATTTTCTACAATACGGCGCATTCGGGCCCGAGTTTCGGTAGGATCGGTGTTAGGACCACTCCTATTACTCGATTTTCATACACAACACCACCCATCCCAGCGACTGAGAAGTGTACGCTCTAAAAATGAATATTTCGGCCGCAGTAAAGAATCAACGTTGGCGGATTTTGGTTCTTGACATCCTTTACGATCGGTTACGATGCCTAGAGTACGGAGACCTGTACGATTTCGTCAACTTAGTGAGTTTGATAGGGGCCGTATAGTGGGACTTCGGGAAGCTGGACTTTCTTTTCGAGCAATTGCAGTTAGAGTGCAAAGAAGTGTAGACACTGTGGTTAGGTGTTGTCAGGCATGGCTTCGAGAAGGCCGTACGCAAAGAGCAAGGGGCACTGGACGCCGCCGTAGAACAACAGACCGTGAAGATCGCCGCCTAAGATTATTGGCCTTAAGGGACCGTTTCTCCACTACCAGGTCCATTGCAAATGAATGCTTTGCAGAACACGGAAGACCTATTGGCATGCGAAGTGTTTACCGACGAATGAGAAGTTTTGGCTTGTTTTCATACCGGCCACACTGGGTGGTCCTCCCTTTAACTCGAGAACACCGACGTAATCGCCTTGAGTGGTGCAGACAACGGTCACTCTGGGATCAGGAATGGAACAGTATTGTCTTTAGTGACGAGTCTCGATTTTGTTTAGGCATGCACGATGGTCGTGCCAGGGTTAGAAGGCGACGTGGTGAAAGGAGGAATTCACAGTTTTTTGTTGAAGACATGTTCATCACACTGTTGGAGTTATGGTTTGGGGGTGCTATAGCTTACAGTACCAGGTCATCTTTAATCTTCATCAGAGGTAACATGAACGCGCAGCGTTATTTCCACGAAGTTCTAGAACCCCATCTTTTACCCTATCTTGACACCCTGGCAGATCCAACTTTCCAACAAGATAATGCCCGACCACATGTTGCAAGAGTCACAATAGACTTCTTTCAACATAATGATGTCACATAGTTACCATTGCCACCAAGATCTCCCGACTTATCCCAAATTGAGCACGTGTGGGATATGATGGGTAGGAGATTGCTTAATTTGCAACGTCCTCCTCAGACTCTAGAAGCACTTCGAGAGGAGTTGGTGGTTGCCTGGAATGAGATACCACAGGAGGACATTGACCACCTGATCAGAAGCATGCTTAGGCGCGTTGGAGAATGCGTAGCACATCAGGGTGCATCCACACATTATTAAAGGTCAAAGGGCTTTAAAGCAGTGCAATCATTTTGAAATTTTTATCATTTACTTATTATGCTTCATTAAGTACTTATACAAAATTTTATTAAAATAAAACCATTTAAACTGGGTGTTCGGATTTATATGTCACTTAGTATATTATCTATTATTAAATTTGAGAGATATTCTACCATTAAATCAGTTAATTAGTTTGTATCATGCACAGGTTGACTAGGTATGTCATAAGATATGGCATATCATTTTGAGGGATCTCTACTAATTCAAAAGATGTGTTTATGAAACAGAAAAAAATTATCAGATGTATAGCAGGCGTTAGTGCTAGAACATCATGTAGGGATCTGTTTCAGAGATTCAGAGTATTTATTAACACTTACTGGTTCATATATATTGGAAACTTGTTTATACATATTTAAAAATAGAGAAAATTCCCAACACACAGTCAACTGCATTAAATTAATATGAGGATTAAGAAAACTTTTATATACCACCCTATAGAACTCAAATTATGTGTAAGTGCCCAAAGATTAATGGCCTAAAAATGTTTAACCTACTTCCTTTGGTAATAAAGAATGCCACAGTCTAAAGACATTTAAGAATTTTTTAAAAGACTATTTAATGGAAAATAGCTTTATAGTGTGGAAGAATATTGTGATATATGCCTTTAAATCTTATTTTTTAATATTTGACTGTTTATACAGGTTTTTTTTAATTTGAAAATAAATAGGTCTTACACTAGACAAGGGTATGGCTAGGCAGGCACACATTGAACAACTGAAAATTAAATTTCAAATTACATTTCACAACTCCATTCTTTTTTATGTAGAACCTCAAAATGAGTTTGATCAATTAAATTCGGATATACAAAACCATCATCAGACCTGCAAGCATGTGCAGCTTGGTGCTTTTTAGCTTAGTCACATATGCATAAACTACAAGTTCTGTAGAGTAGAACTCTCAGAACAATATCTAATGCCCCATGGTACATATCAAATGATACCATCTATAGAGATGACATCCTCTGCGATAGGGATTTCATCATAGGTATAGCACAATGGCGCTACATGCAAGCAGAATCACACAGGATCCCTTTGTTGCGTGAAGCAGTGGATTTCACAGTCGAAGAGACACACAAACAATCCTAGGTAGCAACCTGCACTATCTACAAAATTAATTAATGTTAAGACTAAAAATATAGTTTTAAAACCAAACACCCAAAATTTAGTTTATGACAAGTCAAAATTCATATAGTACAATGTAACAGTCCCTAGATCTATGTCACCTCAAAATTTATATCAAAGAATTACTTTTCTTTCTTTTCTCATTCCTACTTCTTTCCTTTCTCTCTCACCCCTTTCCCCTGCAACTTGTCCGGTTTCTTTGCCACCAGACCTGGCAGATTAACGATAGACACTGTCATTACAGTGACTATGACCTAAAGGCTAAGGTCCTCCAGACTGCCTTGAGTAGGTGAGTAGGTGCCATTAGTATTCTTACTGGTCACTGTGAGCTGAAAATCCATCTCTAGAATGGGAGATCGAGTGACCCATTCTCATGTAGAGGATGTGAACAGTCAAGTACATGCTTTGCGACTGCCCAGCTGTCCTATCCATCCCAAAAAAAATTTCTCTTCTTTTATACCTGAACTACCATGAAGGTCCAAGGCCTAAACACCTGTGGGTACCATGGGTATATCGCTATAGAGATATAGAGTTGAAAGTGGAGGACATCACATAATCTAACAAGGGAACATGTGTGCATTAGACATACACACATTAAAGATCTGCCAGGTGGTATCTCCACATTTGTCAGGAAAAGTATAGATACACAGTGGTTTTTGGATAACTTCTGTCAAAAAATATCAAAATATCATAGAAACTTTCTGGAGAAATATATATGAATACATCTGCCATTATTACAAATCTTCATACACAGATAATTTTGAGAACTGATGACGAAAATTATAGTGAGAAAAACATGAAATCTCTTGAATTTTGAAGTAGAAAACTGGGTTGCTATAGCACCTGTGGGTTATATAGTTAAATTTATGTTGAATTTGAATTGTTTGCAAAGATTTACTCATAGATATGACTGCATCTCAGTGACCTGAATGGAAATTCAGGACACTGATATGCAGCAAAATTATTGGAATGAGACACCTTATGAAAAACAAGGTACAAAACACAATCCAAATGAATGCAATTTCTGTATAGCAGCACTCTTATTTACAACAATAACGAATGCTCGTATCTGAAAATCTTACCGACATTCTGGAGACATGGTATGAGACCTACAAGTTTTCCCCATTTTGTAGATTCTTGGGGATCTTCAGAAGGTGTCAGGGTACCAGGTATATCTGGATCTGTCATCTTCTAGTTGAGTATGAATAACGATGAAAATGTTTCTTTAGGAACCTATACGTAGGACATAAACAGAATTACAAGCAAATACAAGCCTGTTCTGTTTCAACGTGTACGTATAACTATTTTACATCGTACTGATGCAACGACCATTCAGACTATTCGGCAGACATATTGCATGAAGAGATCAAGACAAAAGGCGGCAAGATAATTGAATTTGATTGGTGAATTCGCTATTAAGCAACAAGTCACGATACGACGTTGTCAAGTATAAATCTGAAAAAACAAATTTCCCAACCAACGTTCGACAATAACTATAGCCTAAAATTTGGTCTACTACCAACTTTGAGAATCAAGAATCAACTATTTTTGTAGCACGGAGGGGGGAATCTTGGACTTGACGGCAGTAAAGAAAAGATCAAGCGCACGTCTTGCGAGTACGTCAAGAATGCCTATACGTAGGTGCGTAGAACGATGCATCTTAATTGTCAAAAAATTTTTGGGGCAGGGTTTTCTTGACATACCAGTAAAAATGCCTGACTATAGTCAAATGATGCTTGAAACCTGCAGGGGTATTACGTCGTTTTTTTTACATTATGTAGGTGTAAATCTAGTAAAACTTGTACTTAGCGTTTTGACTTTTGTATGCAAATGAACTTTTCTTAATCAAAGAGCTTTCAACAATTGCAAAATGAGTCTATAGTGTAAAAAGAAACCAAAACAAAAAATGACTTTGAAACCTGGCATTAACGGATCCGTCAGAATTATGTGTCGTTTTTCCGATATCAGGAATTTTGAAATATTACTAGATAATCGGCTGTCATTTACGGTAATGGATACTCTTAAATAAGACGATAGCTGTCGTTTATTTCATGCTCACTTGCAGGAAGCACGGAATGAACTATTTGCACAATGACCTACTTAGTCAACAAGTTGAAATTTTTCTCGTTTTTTGACATCGTATAGGCTTTTCATGTAGTAACCCTGCTGATACTGCTTGTTTCGGTGTCCAATAAGTTATCCGAGATGAAATGAGACGTCATAGTTTTCTATGTTATCTATTAGAATTTATTATAGCTGTGTTTCTCCTCTTCGCATAATTGAAAACTTACTTTGAAAAAGTTGGTGTCTCATGGATGGTGCTGCAGCCAACTATAATTGTTATGATGTGTTATTTATTACCTCCTGATGAAAATTGTTAATCGCAAAGTCGCAAATTTACAGATAAAGTGTGCGACTCGGCAATGACACTGTAAATGGTACAATGCGATGCGCATGTCAAACTAAACCGTATTATTATCAAATAAGAATTCAAAAACGTGCTTTGGAATCTGATTTTTTTACCTTTATAATTTTCAAATTTTGAATTAAGTTTATAGTTTCTCTGGGTTCAATATCGTAAAATCCGCGTTTACGTATTAGTGTCTAGTGTGCTAATATAATTCATAGTGTACTCAGGAAGTTTTATTATATAAGAGGTTAACTTTTGGTTTTTCGTTTTTCCTAATAAAATACCTTCCACTTAGGACTTTATAATAACGTGGTAATCGTAATTTTACGCTGCATTGGACACAGGTATTGCTTATTGTTAGCAAATTTACATATGTTCATTTGATACATCAAATTGATTGGTGCACATAAATTGGTTTCTTGGCATGAGCTGTTAAAGCATTTTGTATAGTCTGAATTAGTTTGAGATGTTTTTCTTTCAATTAGCCCTACATATTAATAGGGATAGCTGGGTGAGCAGAAAAAACTATATGTGTAAATAGAAACTATATTCTATCATATCTATACATAACAAATACCAGATAACCTTTATGACCCCCTAAACTGAAGCCAACTCTCTTGGGGGTTATCTTTATAATAACTGAAGAAATGTTAGCAAAATAAGTTACCACATCGCTCTTTACGAAACACGTTTGATGTTTGATTTGAAGTAATTCTGTACCAAATCTGAGTGCGAGTTGAGTCCAGTACCCTAACAAGACTGTGTATTCGATCTTTATTTTACTTATAGTGAAAATGTCTAAAAACGTGTTGGTTGTGGGAAGTGGCGGCAGAGAGCATGCGATTGCATGGAAGCTTTCTCAAAGTGAGAAGGTGAAAAGAATTTATGCTGCCCCAGGAAGTCAAGCCATTCAACAGGTGGATAAAGTGAAAAATGTCAACCTAGATATTAGAAACTTCAAGGTAAGTAAATAAAAGTAATTTGTGAAGTGTGGATATGTATTTTATATGTATATGATTATGACTTATAAAAGTTAAGGTTCTGTCAATACTGCAGTGAGAATACACTTTTATAATGTCATCTGAGCAGTATGTGCTGGAACCCATGGGAAAAACTTTTTAGGCTTGTGCCTAATGTAGTAATTGGGTCCCCTAATGAAAATACCAATTTCAAGTTGTGGGGCTGCCTCAAATAATTATACCTACTCCAGCATATACTGGCTATTTGTCTTATGATAAGCCCGGAAGCTTAGCTACTATTAGCCTAGCAATAATTATTATAACAATGAGTTTTGTTGCTGGTTGTTGTAAATTCTTAAATAATAATGGTTAATCTCATTTAAAAAACAGAAAAAAATGTTGCTTCACAATTCAACCATTATTACACAACTACAGTAGCAGATTGCTATTGTGCAATTGTTTTTGTTCAATATTATTGAGACATATTTATTTACAATCTCTTTATTCAATTTCCATTTACTTCTCACCTATCTTAACAAATCTTGCTTCAAGCCTCAAAGCATGAGAAAATTTAGATTTCAAGCTTTATATGTGCACAAGAATTGAAACTGTCAGTGCAAAAATCTCATAAATCCCATAATGTGAATTTTTCAGGAGATTTATGTGTCACTGACAAAAAAAAACAGTTTTGAAGTACCTTTGTGCTTAATAAAGTATTTGCATTCTAGAGGATTAACATTATCAAGGTTATTGATACAGATCATTAATAATGATGTAAAAAGCCCAAAAAACTGTTATGAACTTACAATGCTTTAGCAGGAAAAAGAGTCATTGGTATAAAAGAATCATATTAATCAGATTTTCATTACTTATTATTGGAAATTACAATTAAATATCATCAATATTATCATATTAAACCTTAAAGGTTTGTTCATACATTTCACATGTTGTAATATTTTTAAGATACATATGAGAAATCCAGGCAGAGTGAACACCTAGGAAGATCGAATATGCGATATTACAACTAAACCATGAATCTACCAACGTGAATAAATACATAAACCCATTCGTTCAATTTTCTTCAATAATCGACAATCTTTTGTAGAAGAACCCACGTGCTTATTTGAGTACTAGCTATTTAAAATATTTAGCGTATGTTTAAAGGACCTTCTTAGTCATACAAATGAGAAGGACTTGGGTAATGGTTTTGGAGGAAACAAGAAAACTGTCAATGAAATGATGTCGGGCAAAGTGGATAAGCCATATAATCTATAACCGATAAATATGAATATATAATAATACAAGTATACTGGTAAAGTACCCGCCATCAAGTAGTGCATCCAAAAGCACCGGATATGTATTACATGGTGTTATCTGAAGGAAAATGAATGTATTGACTTATGATCTACAATATATATTTACGTTTAATGAAACGTTTTTAGTAAAAATGCATGTTGGTAAAAAATTGACATAGTGGTTTTGCACTGACTGATTCAATTATTAAAATTATATGCACTATAGCAGATGGTGACCAAAATAGTTGTGTTAGCACATTTTTTTCAAATATCAGTTTCTTCACATTATTTTACAGGACATTGTGAAATTTTGCAAAGATAGTCAAGTATCACTGGTAGCAATAGGCCCTGAAGACCCCTTGGCCACTGGTCTGGCTGATGCTCTAACAGCTGAAAAGATCAACACATTTGGACCAGAGAAAAATGCAGCACAAATTGAAAGCAATAAAGACTGGGCAAAGGCTTTCATGGACAGACACAATGTACCAACTGCTAGATGGAAATCTTTTAGCAGTCCTCAGGAGGCAAAGAAATTCATCAATAAGTTAGTTTTGACTTTGTCTTGCCTTGATACACAGTGGTCAAAATGTCACTCAGTTTGAATGAAAAGTGTCAAAATGTCTTCATAGACTCTTCAGTGCAAACTGAAATGTTTTATGAAGCGACTATATTTTATTACCATGATATTTCATAATTTTTCTTCTCAAAAAGACTGTTTGAGCTCTAAACTGTTGTCATCATATTTTACTCAACAAATACGAGTAAGCAGCAATTGTAGTGATGCAGTTTTTCCAGATTGGATTTTAAAATATGAAAGTGACATTTGGACTTTTCTGTATACACTGAGAGACTTGGAGTTTCCATCTTATAGACAATGGTTATCATTTTAGTGCCCCCTATGCTGCCTTGGTGGTCAAAGCAAGTGGACTAGCTGCTGGGAAAGGGGTAGTTGTGGCTAAAATACAAATGAGGCGTGTGATGCTATTGATGACATGCTCACTGGCAAGAAATTTGGAGCTGCTGGTGATACAGTCGTTGTTGAAGAACTTTTACAAGGAGAAGAAGTCTCTGTGAGTTGATAGAACATTATGATCGTGAAAAAGTGTATACATTAAGTTCATTTACGCCGTGCCAAAACAACCGCGACACTAAATAAGCTGCTTCTATTCGCCTGTTGCCATGTGCCCAGGTATTTATGGTCAGCTGGCCAATAGAAGGCAGGAATTTGAAGATCCTGTGGTGGTTTTTGTTTTGACATGATGCAAATGGATCTTAAATTTCAAATAGCATGTAGACCATGATTTATTTTCTTCCTAGGTGTTGGCGTTTTGTGATGGAAATACGGTTGTACCAATGCTACCAGCACAGGATCATAAAAGAATATTTGATAACGACCTTGGCCCAAACACGGGTGGAATGGGCGCATATTGCCCATGTCCATTATTAGACTCAGAACAGCTTAAATATGTCCAGAAAGAGGTACTGGAGAGGACTGTCCAGGGATTTAAAAAGGAAAATATTAAGTTTGTAGGTAAGAACTTTTTGTTACCCCAGTTGCCGTCTCTTCAAGTATAGATGTCAACATACCTGTTTTAGAACTGAAAATTAAAATATTTTTCGATGCGTAGCTTTACTTTTCGATCAATTTATATTCTCCAAATTCTAGTTAACTAATTTATTTGATTCTAGGTGTATTATATGCTGGTCTCATGCTGACCAAAGATGGACCCAAAGTACTAGAATTCAATTGTCGATTTGGCGATCCTGAGACTGAAGTGATCCTACCATTGCTTGCCTCGGACCTTTATGATATTATGACCGCATGTTGTGAGGGAACCTTAAGTAGTCAAAGAATTCAGTGGAAGGAAAATTTGACAGCTGTTGGTGTTGTTATCGCTTCCAGGGGTTATCCAGAGACATCTAGCAAAGGACAGGTCATAACAGGTTAGTTGTGTGTGTTAGTGTCAGGAAGGATATAGAAATAAGAGGATAAAACTATTCTAAAAGTCTCATTCTTATGTTACAGGAATAGAAAAGTATCTGCCATGCATAATCATGTAGTATTCCACTGTGGCACAGCATTGAAAGATGACAACATAGTAACAAATGGAGGCAGGGTCTTGATAGCTGTAGCTCTAGCGCCTGAGCTAGTAATTGCTGCAGCTAAGGCAACAAATGCTTGTAAGGTTATCAATTTTGACGGTGCTCAATACAGGAGGGATATTGCCCATAAAGGAATTGCGAAGTAAGTGTTGACTATAGCCTGCTACTCGAACAAATCAACATCATTATAATTTTAGAAATTATTATTCGCCCAGATGCGTAAAGCTCTCGCTAATTACATTTCCTCTAATATATAGATGTGAAAGTTCACAAATCAAAAAGTAGATTTGAGGGGTGCTTATAAAGTAATGTTTTCAGGTCTATTTTGGGCAGCGGAAAGCTGACCTACAAGCACAGTGGTGTAGACATTTCTGCAGGCAATGAGCTGGTTACCCACATCAACCTGCCGCCAAATCTACAAGCATACCAGGAGTCATGGGTGGGCTAGGAGGTTTTGGTGGACTGTTTGACACTGCCGCAGCTGGGTACAAAGATCCGTTGCTTGTCTCTGGTACGGATGGAGTAGGCACGAAACTCAAGGTACACACTGTATACTCACTAATTGGGAAATAATCTCAGCTCATCGAATTTTTATCTCCGTCGACATATGATGGACGAGGAGCACGCACTATTCAAAACTCGCACCCTGGACGACTGCGCAGTATCAGCTACACGCACGCGGCAGCGTCTCGCAGTCTGCGTCGAACTCTCAAGGTCGTAGAATTCGCCTGAAAGCGTGATTTTAGGAAGCTGGATGCTTTACTATGAAATTTATATATAGGGTGATTCAAATTGGGTTTCCACAATAAAGTATTTAAAAAAAAAAGAAATTGAAAATTATAAAAAGTATGTACATATTTGTCCTTTTAGGGTAGTTCATTACAATTATGCTTGAAAGATGATATCAAGTAAATGACCGCTGCTGCTCATGTGGCATGACGTAATCCGTTTCGAGAAATTTTCGACTACTTCGTGGCACAAATCAGGTCCTATGTTGGTAATTTCGCGTCTGATCTCCTGTTTCAGCTCCGCAATTGTGTTCGGGTTATTCTTGTAGACTTTGCTCTAGAAATACCCCCGAATAAAATAATCTAAGGGAGTTAAATCACAGGATCGCGGGCGGCCATTTGAAATCGCCGTTACGTGAAATAACGCGACCTGGAAACTTGCCGCGCAGTAATTGTATCGTTTATCCTGATGTGTGACCTAGGCTTCAATTCCTGTGTTATTTGGACTCTGTATGGGTGTAACTTCAAATCTTTTGTTAAAATCCGCTGTGTAGTGGAATAAGTAAGGTCCAGTGCTGCGATCGATGACGAATCGAGGTTCTTGGATTTTCGGCTACGCTTTCGACAACAATAGCAATATTGTGTTCCGACCGACCTCTAGGAGCACGCCTAGGAATTTTGGTGTTAGCGACGGATCCAGTTTGCTCGAATTTTTGCACCAAATTCCAAACTGTCCTCTCGCAAGGCCGATTTTGTGCGTCAAAAAATTCACGTAAAGCACGAAATGTATTCTTCCTTGATCGTCCGTTTTCATTATAGGCTTGGATAATTTTAACACGTTGTTCGGTCGCATATTGCTTCATGACTGTTTTGTTTATATTTTGCCGTTAGAAATGGCACATTGTCGTTGACAAATTCAGTGGCGTTTCAAAAAAAACTCAATTTGAATCACCCAATATATATATAATGACTACATCACAAAAAACCATGTTACTATTTTCTGTCGGTCCTCAGGGACGAAGAGGCTTTATAGTTTTTGAAAATCGGTCCAGTGGCGGCGAACGCTAAAAATAAAAATCGTTCAAACTTTGTTTTTTGTAGTTGGTATTTTTATACACTTCCAACCCCGGTAATTCTTCCCACCTATTAGTCCTATTATATATTACCCTATACATTTGCCGTTTGTTCCACGGTCTCGATAAGTGTCCTGCTGTCACTGCCGCGGTACCAATGCTTGCTGAGGGGGGGGGGGGATGGGCCATAGGCGACGTTGCCAGACTAACTGTATGTCCATGTTTGACTCACTCGATCCGTTTAATTTTCCTCTGATACATGTTCGTATATAACTTTTTTCAAAGGGTCTAACTTGTGCCGAACCTAATTCTTTATGAAGTGATGACACCAGTGCTTAGGAAATGCATAGTCAACATACTTGACTCATTTTTTTTCTAGATTGCACAAGAAATGGGCATACATGACACTATAGGAATTGATCTGGTAGCGATGTGTGTCAATGACGTCTTGGCTCACGGGGCCGAGCCATTGTTTTTCTTGGACTATTTTGCCTGTGGGTCTCTGGATATCCAAACTGCAAAGCAAGTGGTTAGTGGAATCGCTGAGGGTTGTAGACAAGCTGGATGTTCCTTGATAGGTAATCTATTTTTCTTGACTATAAAATATTTTGTTTTCGTGCATGGCTTCAGATATAGTTAGGTGAGAATGTATAAGGGCAAAAAACTGTCAATTTTATTTGGTTCCATAGTTATAATTATTTACTATATCGTTATAACTGTCGATTCTTCATTTTGAAAGTTCTCGTCATTGTGACAGGTGGTGAGACAGCAGAGATGCCTGACATGTACCCGCCAGGAGAATACGATTTGGCAGGTTTTGCTGTAGGAGCAGTAGAACGTACCCAACTGATGCCTCACATAGCACAGATCAAACCTGGGGACGTACTGATAGCGTTGCCATCTAGCGGCGTACACAGCAACGGGTTCAGTATGGTCAGGAAAGTCATGAAGTTGGCTGGAGTCAGTTATAAGCAGAAATCACCTTTTAGCAAGGATAATAAAAGTTTTGGTGAGTATATTATTTGTCCTCAACTCATTTGCAAAACAAAATCAAAATCAATGAGTCGAAACTTAGGGTTGTACTTGCCT